TTGCAATAAAACGGCAATTTCATACTTTAACCCCTAATATTAATTTTAAGCAGCTCCTTTACATTATACCTTATCGAGGACACTGCCATGCTGCCAATTAAATTTAGCTACGTTGTTTCATGAGCACAGGTTAATGTTTACCTTAGGGTTAGCGTCCAAGTCACACTCGATGTCTACCGCTTCGCCCCTTGCTGCTCTCATTGCTGTAGGCTGTGTTGATTTGCATGTGGGCGCGTCTGTACAAAGAATAACAAGGTTTGAATAGTCATTTGGGTGGAGATTGTGTAAAGCACAGTGTTAATATTACTATTATTAACTCACAGATCTCTCTTTTTTTTACGGTACTGTAACCTGGGGACGTAGCTTGGGTTGCGTAGCAAGAGGTACTTTATAAATATAAACTGGGATGATCTTCAAAATTAGATATTTATTGTATTTTTTACATGTTCACTTACGGAGGCTATTTTTAGATCTGCCAAAATGTTCATTTCTCTATTCTATTTTTTAAACACATTCTAAATATAAATCTATATGTACTCCGCCAGTAGTTCTACTCATAGAGTAGAAGGTATTGGCGGGAATGAAGTATCGTAATGTGATAGTTTATGTGGATAATATATTGGTGTATGCAAGTACGTTTGAAGAATTTAATTTTTATTTAGAATTAGCTACGTCCCTAGGTTACAGTACCAAGTGACCCGTCATCACGAAACTCGTAATTCCTGTAATGTCCGTGAAACTTACTAAGCTTTTCATCACACCAGCATTGAAATAGTATGATTGCATGCAGGCTAACTTGACTATAATGCCCCAAATTAAATCCTCGGGCCTTTTTTCTTATCATTACCGATGACGGCTGTAATGATAAGAAAAAAGGCCCATGGGTTTTATTTGGGGCAATAGTCAAGTTAGTCTGCATGCAATGAAACTATTTACGTGTAAGTGTGATGAAAAATATAGTACGTTTCACGGGCGGTACGGGAATTACGAATCTCGACTCCGAAAGAATTCTAATAGAGTTTCGTTCGTAATACCTTATTTACCGCCCTTAATATAAAATGTACTATAATTTACCTGATCGCAAACAATGGAATTCGCTGAACTATGAGGACCAAAACAACCACTACAGGGCACCCAGAACACCCAGATTGACAATTTAGAAAAGTTAACTTCCGAATTGGTTCTCCCGGGAGTCGAACCCGGAACCTTCTCATCGGTGCAAGCCTTGGGCCATAAAATCGTCACATAATAGGTTTTTTTATAAAACCAAGTGACGGGCCAAAACAAGTCTTGTACCTGCTGGTAAGCGACACGCCTGTCCATAGCAGTCGCACTGCCACTCAAAGCTGCAAAGATCTGAAGGGTACTGTCACCGCGCCCGTCACCCTGAGACATAAGTTGACAGTCCCATGTAATTTCACCAACATCTCTCAATTGGTATACTCACACTTAACGTCTAAAATGAGGCGTTCACTAGATCCTTCTCCCAAACTGTTCCTAGCTGTGCAAACGTAAGCGCCAGCTGCTTTTCGGGACACGCGCTGGAGGACTAAGCTCTGATTGGCCAGAAGTACTCCAGGACCAGGTTTCACTGTTACACCCTGCAAAACGTATAACATATTAAACAGACGTAGATATTCGAACTTTGAACAACAGTTCCTTTTCATTCCATCGCGCGTGATCAGGAGCGTACAGTATTGGGTGCGGGAAAGTCTGCACGCACAATTGTGCGAGATTACCTGTTTGAATTTTTTTAAGCTAACGTTCTTTCGCGCGCGATTGCTCGTGTTGGTTTCTGTTACAATGGAAAAAGCGTCCGTCTAAGAGTGGTTACACTATCCCTTTTCCTTGCAACGTCTATAAACGCGCGTTCAAGCGCGCATGGTTGCTGTATCACGCGCGATGGAGTGTCTGTGTAAAGCCCGCTAATGTTGTAAGTTTTATTCAGAAAAACCAAACAAAGTTACAAAAATGGTTTGTATCGAAAATAAAATTTCAAACAACATAAACCATTTCCTCTCGGGTGGAACGAGTTTTCGTTTTATAGTTTATACGGGAAAATACGCGTTTTTTCATTACTCTTGACAAACAAAACAATATTTTATTCTAGTCTGTACCTACTTTAATCTGTCAATTTCAATTTCATAAACCATATCACAAAAGCCACAAAAGCGCTCTTTTTAGTTCTGAATCAAAATTGTATAGTCAATTGTATTCACCATTGAATTGAATAATTTCAATATGGTTCTGTACACAGAACTATAACGAGTTTCAAAAAAAGAACCGTCGAATTTTTGCTAAATTAAAATAATAAATATGACGCTACACAAACGCTTTAATGCCTCCTGATTGGTTAAATTGGCCTAAAGGTCTTGCAACCGGGCCATAAACCTTTATATAAAAAAAGATTGGTTAAAATATAAATGGTACTTGGCCACTATTGGTTGTTGGTTACTGGTAGAAAAAATATTGTAATAATTACATAATTAGGTCTTAAAATCTCGTAAACACGGTACTCGACTTTAAAAACCCTCATTAAGAAACAACTGCGTAAAATACTATTGTCAAATTTCTGAAAACTACCACAAAGGAATTTTTCCACAGTGTCAGTTTTATTTTAACGTAATTGGTTAGTTAGAGTAGTCGTAGTTAATTTGCTTACGTTATGGCTGAAGTAGACATGGTTATGCCAGGGATTAGCACGTACTCTGCAGTCGAGGTACACGTCCGAACCTTCCACGACTTTACTTGCGTCCAGATTTGCGCCCAGCTCCAGTTTTGCAACCGGCAGGTCTGCAGAATTAACCAAACAAAATTGATAAAGTAAAAAGAAAAAAACTTTGATAAAAGAAAGCCACTTCCGTGCCCGCAGTTAATAATGTTGCACTGGTGATTTTACACAAGTCTTGAGGAAATTTTACCCTGTTTGGAACACGAAAAGAAAAATTAAAAAACGTTTAAATTAGTAAGTAATTAATTAATTAAAACGTCCAGCTAATGAAAAGAGAGATATCGTTTAAAAAGTATTGAAAACAGAAGGGGGAATGTTTAGACATTACTACGTGGTGACAAATTTCTAAATGTTACAACTGAGCTGAGGGGAAAATAGAAAAAAAGTAAGAGGGGAAAGACTAAGAATAGCGTGGCCATATTGGATTCAGTTGAAAAGCGTGGCAAGACGCTTATAGGTGACTCGGAATTAGTAGAGATGAAGCTGCAAAGCCTTGAACACCTTTATAAAGTTGTCCGCTTATCGGTATTCTACAGCATAGAAGACTGTGCGAGGGAATTGCACTATTTAAGTCCGCTTTCCGCCCTTCCATCGAGGGACTAGACGTAATCATGGGTTCCACTCCTTTGTTGTGGATGCCCCAAGAGTGCGTACAGATCTGGCAAATGCGCCTGTTTGTGAAAGGCTTGGGAGCTGCGAACATGCATTACGTATGAGTAGTGCGATCTGTTCGCGTGCTAACACGTATTTGAAATAGAAATAGAAACCATTTATTGCAACGCCACTTTACAAAAAAAGGCTCAAAAAAGGCTAATATGAATAAAACAGAAATACCTCAAAAAACAGCATAACAACATTTGAACAACAAGTTACATAATTCTCCACTCATATGTGTGTGGCGTTGGTGTATACAAAAAGATTCCATTCAGCTAAAGTCACAACAAAGACTGAGCTGTGACGCTGGTTTTCAATGGGTTCTAGCACTTACTACACTAATTGATTTATGCAGCATGCGTGCAGCGCGTGTGCAATGCACCTGCAGCGCGTTCGCGACATATTCGCCAGATCTGTGACGCACCATGCACGCATTTCGCTTCCACATTGATATGGCGAACGGCTATGGGATTTTCTTTGTTCACTGAATGGTGCAATTTTCAAATTTTCAAGGCGAGAGTGATTAGGCATTATTTGTTCCATCGTCGACCTCATCGTCACTTTTCATCAGGTGAGATGGAGGTTTGACTAATTACTTTTTTAAAAAAAAGAAGAACGACAAAGTGAGCTGCAATAAAGAGGTCAAGGAGCTTGCTATGGACCGTGAGAAGTGGAGGAGGCTACACAGACAAAAGCCTGGCATTTAAACTGGATAATGAGGGCACGGGTTATGATGGAACTGAATATAATTTCCCTTTGAATGTCTTGATCGTTGTTCGTTCTTGATAAGCTAAACTTATTAAAGGACGCGATCATTGACTTACAAATAAATGGACGACGGGCCTAATACAAAAACCACGAAAAAAATGTCCCAAGTCAACCTATTTAAACGTAGTGACATGTAAAGGAATATGAAAAAGCTAAAACGTTGAATTTAAATTGTAATGTCATCGCAGTACTGTCTAATTTTGCTTGCTTCGCTGTCAGTCGAACAAACGAAGACTAAAGCGTGAATGACGCTCTGTATACGATTTTAACGCCGTATAAGTTCGGGCACTTTTTAGCGCGGACCCGACGTCCATATAATTGCAAGTCAATGGACGCGATACACAGTTTAAGTAGGCTTGAATACAATGAAGGTTAATTTTTTTTTCTAACTGTGTTATTATACTAAAAATGTGTGTAAAATCTTTGCAGGCTCATATATCTACGACTATCGCTGTAGGAGCTTAGCAAAGTCGGTATTTTAGTCCTTCCTTCCATCTTCCCCCAATTATTAAAATTATAGAATTAATAGTATAACTGATAATAATCAATGGTGTAACTGGCTAGAAGGGAACTACCTGATTATTCAGGGTTCTTGATTATTTGTTTCGCGATTTTTTTGTTTTATTATTAATGTAGTTTCCTCTAGTTTTTTTTTGCGTACAAAATGTAAATATCCAAATACAAATTTGTAAAATAAATCTATCTTCGTATAGTCCTGGAGGCATACCACAACCTCTTAAAACAATATTACTTTAACCTTACATTGACTTTTCGTACCACAACGCGCTTAAAGTAAGCTTATTGTAATGTTAAAACTATGATGTTTTATTGGCAGCTTTGTGACTATTAATTTACTCAGTTCGTACTATGACGCGACTTTAACATTAAAGTAATATTGCTCTTATGTCAAATTTAGCAATCTTAAAGTAGTTACACGGATGCAATGGAAACAATATTATTTTCAGTTTTATTGTCTTAATATTGATTTGTAATGATTAAAAGTCAAGTTGAATTTATTTATTTACATATATCTCTTCAATATTTTGTTTATTTTTTATTTAATAGCACATAGGAAATAATTTCACGTTAAATAAAAATACGCGATGTTTATTTCGTAAAACTATGACAACGCCATCTATATACTCCTTGGCGAAGCTAACGGATGACACTAGATCATAATTCCGAATTCACAACGTGACTATCAATACTCAGCTTGTTTTATTTATTTTTCTTCATGAAAATGCGGAAAAATTATTGAAAACAACGTAATTTTAATAGATTTTATTATTACATACTTTTCTTTTTTTAACAGTTAAAATTCTCTGAATGTAAATAACATTAAGTACTTTAACATTATACTACGATAACACGATTCGGAAAATCAAAAAAGAAAGAGATGAGGCGTTATACAGTTCATATAGCGTTATCTCTTTCATATTTTTAGTAAGGAATAGACAATATTGGGAAATCATTCGTTCTTCAATGAATTTTGCAATAATATATTACTTGGTTGATAGGTTCGTCATGGTACGAATATGAATAATATTACAATAAGCTTACTTTAAGCTTACATTGAAATAAGATTGTTTTTGGAAAGGTTGTGGTAGGCCCCAAGGACAGAAATTTGATGGAGAAATGGACTTACGCTGAATTTCCATCTTCCACCCGTCCTCATGTGCCGAATGGGGCAGTGTAGGCTGGATAACTCGGCAGGATATAACCCTGCCCGCGTCTTCTATGGCTGGCACGAAGGTGAGAATACTGCTAGTTGTGTTCCCATCGGTTGAAGTCTGGTAGAAAAAAAAAGATATCGTAAAAAGGTATCGATTGTGCGTCATGGAAAGTTCCGCTGACCGAGGCCGTCGCGAGTAGCGCATGCGACGGCGGGCGGGAGGCGCGACGCGCGCCGTGAGCGGAGACGAGACTATAAAAGGCCGCCAACCGGAGCGAGCGACACACTCGTTGGGGGAGCTTGCTACGGTAAGAACCTCCAGCGGCTGAGGGACTGTTCAAGAGTAATTGCAGCGCGTGACCAAGGTGTGCCCAGGCCGTGCGAATTGCTTGTCTTCCGCCCTCCGTACGGACTATCCTCCGTCCGTCTTCTGGGTTGGGTAGTGATTGATGCACGTGACCGAGGTGTGTCGCTCACCCTTCACCACCGCATATCCACCTGCCCCTATCCGCCACCTGTGTTGGGGAAACAATTGCTACGCGTGACCAAGGTGTGTCCAGGCCGTGCGAATTGTTCACTCTTCGATCCCGTAAACCTCTTCTTTAGCCCAGAGCCGTCACTAGATTAGTTAGGGTAGTAACCCCGCATGGTTCATGTAATTCTAGTATAGTAAACCGATCAATAAACGGTCAATGTTAAAACTTGGTGTTGGTTTCCTTCGTTAGTTTTAGAACCTTGGATAAATTCCTGTAGGTAAATAATAGTGTGCTTGTCCCGACCGCACCCCGGGAATATGCTACATTACACAGTTATGCCGAATCAACAAAAGCCATTTGAGTTTGTACAGACAATTAAATAACTGAGATCCAATGTCGCAATATGTTATTATTATTGTCTAGCACTCGCTGTTTAAGAGAAGAAACCTTCTTTCTTAAACAGAAGCAAAACCCATTCGTGCTAACAAAAACATTTCAGATGCATTACAGTGTCTTGGCAATTTAAACATGGCCCTAAATCAAGTCAAGTAAAATAAATTTACATTTGAAAACGTCACTTTTAATTAAGCTACTGCTCGTTCACTGTGCTGATTTCCCTGAGAAGAACGAGCAAGAAACTCTAGGAATTGCTCTTTTCAAATAAACTTAAATGCTATGGAATACACTTTGAATCATATTTGTGTGGAATCTAGAGCCATGTCGTCTTTCCATACATCATGTTGAAGGCGAATCGCATTGTACACTTGCTCGGTAGTTAACTACAAGTATGTGTATGACAGCACGCCTTAAAAGGGTATTACTTTGACCTGATCTGAGCAGCATGTCAATCTCCTGACATTCATATGTCAGGAGATTGACATGCTGCTCAGATGCTGCTCGTGGTCATCCACGCATTGCCAATATGCTATCATCATATTGTTTGCAATGTGCCTGAATATCGAAAGAGAACTTGACATTGGCAAGTTTGGTGACTGCTACAGGCGTCTTATGACATCCGTTCAACATTTCATGGATGTAACTTTAAAAAGTTTTTATGAAAATTAAAGCCTGGTAGTCATTGTGCCGGTCATACACGCTACGGTATACCGGAGAGGTCTGCCTGTGCAGGCAGACCTGTGCAGTTTTGTGTGCCTGCGAGTGATAACCGTACGGTGAACTGCAGTGCATAATAAAAAATTACAACATTCGATTCAACTATTAAGAAAATACTTGTGGAATTTATGGAAATATATCGCATTCATCTATGTCTTTGTCATATAAAAAAAAAACCACAACCGATACAAAAGAAGAAGCTGCTCATAAGATGCTTGTACAAAAATTAAAAGAAATACAATCCAATGCCACTAAATCAACAGTTGTGTGGTACCTAGTAGCCGTATCGAAATTAATAATAATAATATAATAACGCACACACTCAACATAGTCCCGCACTTGGGAAATCCTGTATCGCGGGTACCATTGACACATACATAGACAACCACAAATTACACCCAAACTCACGAGAGAAATAAATCTAGGCCATACAAATATTTCTCCCGGCCAGAGAATCGAACCTGGGACATCTGCGTGACAGTTCGGCATTGTAACCGTTCGGCCACGGAGGCAGTTAAAATTAACTGAAGACCTCCGGGATAGTCCCACATCCGCTGCGTCTAGCGGCGTACCTACGCAGGTAGACCTTTCCGGTATACAGTAGCGAGTATGGCCGGCGTATTAGAGAGCTGTAACTGTAACGTGACCAACACTAGTAACGAGGTTCTAGGGTGTACACGTCAAACAATCTTCACTCGCTATTGTATCATTAGTTATAGTCGGTGTACGGCGACCCGCAAGCGGAATGCTTGCGAACCACGTAACATAACATATAACGGTTACGGTTGCAGCTCGCTGTGAGTACCCGGCTAAAGACATTACAGTATCAAATTCCGAAGAGAACGTTGTTTTTTCTCAGACGTGGTTGGAAATGTTTGCATTATTTTCAAACGTCGAGTATATAACCAGAAATAGAGATGAAATGTCATTTAATTTGATTGAAAACTATTCTGCCAAATCATTACGTTGACAACTGCGCTCAATTGACGGGAGTCATCAATTGTTTCACTTCAAATCGACCAGTTTAACTTGAGTTTTGCTGTAATGGACGAAAATTATTAAATTACATATTTAATATTTAATTACCGATGAAATGTGATTCCGTTTGTTTTGTAATTAGTTGGAACAGCCTCCCAATGTTAGAGATATTATCTTTATTACAATCAATACAGTATATTCTGTATTCTGGAATATACGGAGACGTACACACAGGCCAGCTGTTGGCGCTGTACTATGTCAGATTTCTAATTTGTGATTTCAGCGCTGACGAGAGTTGATATTTAAGTGATATAAGGCCCATTTGTCTGATGAAGTTGCCAGGGACGGATGGCCTTATTTCGTTTCTATTTCTGGTTATATACTCGATGCTTTCAACAAACGAACACGGAGAGTTTGACAATTATGGATCATGCGATAAGGCCTGCAAAGTAAGTATGAAAAGCCATGCCTGTCCGCCGTTAGACTTCTCAATCTATCTAAACAGGCAAAACAAAAACTTATACAGTCTACTGCCCGGTTTTCGTAATTGCTAGAATTAAAAAATACCTACCTACCGCTTAATTCTTAAAAAAAAAGAAAAAGGCGGCAAATAACATTTTTAACCGACTTCAAAAAAAGGAGGAGGTTCTTAATTCGACTGTTTTTTTTCGGCATTTGTGAACGGGTTTTGATAATGCTTTATTTGTTGGAGTCCCATTTCAATTTGAAGAAAGTATTCAACCTCTAAGGGTGGCAAACAAGGGGATGAATGACTTTTGAGGTCAGTATTTCAGTACTCTGTGCTGAGATTATCTTTTATCAATTTGTCCTAACATGTCAAATATTCATTTCAATATGTAATATCGGGGCGTTTTGGGGGCTTCACCTACATCTTGGAGCCCAAGCTAACCTCACCTGCAAGTGGTGCGCCTGCTGATAGACGGACGAGGCTCTAGCGAGGGGTTTTCCCTTTCGGGGGTTGGGAGGTCAGACGGCAGTCGCTCCCGTAAAAACCAACACCGCCACATCAACTTATGGAAGTCAACAGAAGGATATGGCATAGGGATAGGGCGCCGCTGCAAAACGGCGCGCAGGAGCCTCGCCCGACTTCTGTTATGAATAGCGGACCCCGGGCTCCTCAGCAACCCTGCTGAGGACGCAACCGGGACAACGCTCAGATGAGAGAGAGATGTCAAATATTCATTTCAATAATCTTCTTGGCGTGTCGACTTTGACATTTATATTTATGTGGAACAGTACTATTAAAATAAATATTTTTTTACTTTCTCTATTATACATCTTCCTCTCTTTAGTCTTTTATTATTTCGTTACATTGGTTGAGAAAAGCACCATGTATGCCTCGGCAGGAATTTAAATTGTTTCACTTGTCCCGAACTTCCCGGTGTCTGCAATAATGTACTATTTTCTGTGTAAATTATAAGCTTAATTGATAAAGGGCACGATATAACAGAACGACAACAGAATAAGTACATTGTATCACAAGGGCGGTAAGTAGGCGGCAATTATGAACTGAGGGACATTTAATGAACGTTTGTAATTGCTATTCCGCCCTTGTAGCATAAAATGTTTGTCATCACTCCTTCGTATAATTTAGGTTTAGGTTTTCTTTCTCTATGCTAATATAAAATTGTTTAATGTTTTTCGGACAAACTTTCTACTTGACAAACAATTATTATCTTTTGCCAAAATACATACAATTTTATCTATTGTATTGCCGGCCCACAATAATTAACCGACTTAAAAAAAAGAGAAGTTTCTCAATACAACTATACGTTTCCTTTTTGGTGGTTATGTTATGCGATAACTCCGGCCTTGTGAACCGATTTTGATGATACTTTCTTGTAGGAAAGATGGTCCCATTTTCCACCTCTAAGGGTGGCAAACTAGGGGATGAATTTTGAGGTTGTTTTTTTTAGTACTCAGTACAGAGATTATTAAGTACCTATAATTCTTTTTTGACAAAATATTTCCACTATGGTGTAAACTAAATATTAAAACTGAACATTCAGATCGAAAGTGGCCTCCAATCAGCAGTGCTCGGATTGTGCATGCAAAATAACTCAACGTTTGCGATTGAGGAACAAAGCAAACGACTCCGCCAATCAACAACAAAACATAAATTCTGACTATCACAATGGAAGCTATCAATCCTTTGTATATTTATAAATAAAGCGAGTTCTTAGATCTTTGGTGCACGTGTTCAATAAAACTTCCCCACCTAAATATCTATATGTTGCACGTTGAAATCGATACCGTCATTTAACGAAAATCTCGTTTTTTTTAAATTTAAACATATTTTAATAAAAAAAAATGGTTTATTTTCTCAACACAAGGATAATAGATATGTAAGTTCGGTCGTGTATGGAGTATTGCTGCCACTTATGGCAGCAGTACTCCATAAACAAATCTAAATACCAACTGACTACCTTGGATTCAATAGAAAAGCGGCCAAGAGGCTTATTAGTGACTCGGAATTAGCAGAGTAAAGCTGCAGAGCCTTGAACACCGCCGTAGAGTTGCCTGCTTATCG